CCTCTAAATTGTTCCAGAGCAAATAGTGCTTAGAAAAGGGGATACAGAAGCAGGGAGGATAGAAACAAAATATTTCAGGGTAGGGTGAACTGATTACTCCAGCCCTGCCTCTGTCTGGGTCAACTCGAGCATTTCAGAAGAATGTTGGTCTGAAGGGACTGAGACAATCCCTGAAAAACTTCATAACCAAAGTAGACATCCAAAGCACACTGTCCTTTTCAGGTCACCTGGTAGTTCCTATCCTGTATTTGCCCATGGACAGGGGAGAAGACTGAAGTGATGATGTCATGTAGTGGAGAACAGATGACATTCTCCCTGAAGACCCCAAAAGTGACTGGCTTTAGAGCAATTTCTCCAAGGGTCAATGGGAAAATACTAGTAAAACTATCACATGCTCATCTGCTTGTTTTGGGGTAAAGTAAGATTAATCATGTGGGTCATGAGTCACCTGTGAAGCATGTGTTGCAATCCAGGGTTCAGGTTGCTGTGTGGATTCTAGGGTTCCTCCCTCCCTTTCTCAGGGTCAGTCTTGGGCACAGTGTCTTTAAGGTACAGGATGTGTTTTAATTAAGTCTCCCTCACTCTCCCCTCTTGCTCTCTTTGCCAGCAACAGTGATGAGGCGAGGGAGTCACAGACAGCAGAAATGGTTGTTTGGTTCTGGAGATCAGTTTTCTTTACACAATCCCGCGGCCCATGCAAGCAGGCAGGAGAAAGGGAGGGGCACAAGCTGGGGAACTCCGTTGTTCACTCCTGGGTTCTTGGAGCTGTGGCGTGCATCCCACCTCTCCAGCCCGTAGGCAGTCGGCAGCATTTATGGTGGTTAGGAGGGGACTCAGGACAACCGGACGCCAGGAATAAGGAATTCTGGCTCCAATGCTGACTGACCTGCTGCATGAATTCAGGCAGGTTAATTAAATTAACATTTCTGAGGCATGTCCCAATTTACAATGTCCTTTCAAAAGTACTTTTGAATTAATCCTTCCAAAACCACTGTGACATATGTGATATGTCAGATGTGATTATTCCTATTTAAGAGATGAAGAAGCTGAGGCTCAGAGAGGCGAAGTGATTTGCCCAAAGGCATATAGCAAATAGAACCAAAATCTGCTGCCTCCAAGCCCTTTGCTTTCCCCATCATACTTTGCCACTCCTTCTAAATTAACGTCTCTGAGCCCAAGTTCTGTCATCATTGAAATAATGATAATTTTACTGGGCATTTTCTCTGTGTGCGGTAAGCATGTTACCTGTGTGATCGCATTTAATCATTTAATCCTTAAAATAACATGTGGGCAGGAACTATTTTTATCCCTGTTTTACAGATGAGAGAACTGGGGCTTAGTGAGATCAGAAACTGGTCCAGTCAAAGCCCACACTCTTAGCCACCTTGCTATATAAGTTCCCATCAGTAATTGAGATGAATCCCCAATGCACCTACCTCACCATGTAATAGGTAAGGTAATTTTGGAAGATAAAATTAGATAGTAGATATAAAAACACATTTTGAAAGTTAAACATGTGTGGCATAAATATAAGGAAAGATAAAAATCTCTACTTCTGCAGATCTTACACTATAATAAAGCCCAAACTAACTTCCAACAAACTGACACAATCATAAATCTCTGACAAAGTAGCAGAGACAACCAAATGAAGAAGCTGCAAGGGGAGGGTGCTGGAGCCCAGAAACACCAATCCCGGAGGACTTCCTAAAAGAGGTAAGTTTTGCCTAAGTTCCTGGCAATAAGGCAGGCACAGAATATAAAAGAGGAGGCATTTCAAGCAGAACACTGGCTGGTAGACCACGCTGCCCTGTCCAGGCGAGGATAAGCAGGAGTCCAGGCAGGGATGGAGACTCTGAGAGGAGCGAGTAGAAGTTGGTGATGCTCCTGAGGCCACAGCAATGAGTCTGTGTGTGTGTGTTTGTGTGTGTGTATGTGTGTGTGTGTGTGTGTGTGTGTGTGTGTGTGTGTGTGTGTGTGTGTGTGTGTGTGTGTCAGAGAGAGAGAGAGAGATTGAGAGAGAGATTGAGAGAGAGAGAGAGAGAGGGAGAGAGAGAGAGAGAGGGACAGGCAGGACCATTCGCCTCCACCCTCTGCAGGGTCATGCACAATAGCTTCCACATTATCTTAAACACAGACCAAAACTCATCTGCTGACCACTTCTTACTGCCACAATCCTCTATCTCCCACAGAATCAAAATATACTCTCCAATCTTGGCTCAGAATCTTGCTCTCACTTGTGGGCCTTTTCCATGGACTTTTATGTCTCTGTTTATTTTGTGCATTTCATGAGTGGCTCATGCCTTTAAAGGAAATGCACCAGCCGTGGCCTGGCCTGTCATTACAGCCCTTTGCTGGCCGCCAGCTGCACTCACCCCGTTCCTGGGATGGGTGAGCCTGGGCTTTTAATTTGCTGTGACAGGAGATAATTGTTGCTTGAGTTTCCACCTCTGAAAATAAACCAGGGTGGTACTTCCCGGCTGGAGATCCACAGAGGCAAACTCACCCCTGGGGTACGTGCCAGGGAAGGCTTAGCCAGGCCTGGGGCAGCCAGTCTCCGTGTCTCTCACCCCTTTTCCTTTTCTGGATTTCAAAACATACAATTCATGTTTTCTTTAAGAGATTAAGATAACAAAGTTAAGAAAGTTCAGGGAGGCTTTCTGATAATGTATGTAAGAATTCCGGACATAAGATTCTGTGAAATTTCAGACTCTAAAGATATTAAACTCACCACTCTGGCCTAATCCCCAGTTACAGCTCCAGTCAAGTTCAAGCACATCATAGCCTGCCCACCAGAGTTATCCGCCATGTCTTTTTCTTCTTTTTAAAATATAACATCATGCAAAGAACTATCTGGGCAAGGCCTCATCAATCAAAGCACTCTGAATTGCAAGTTGGGTCATGGCTGTCTGGACAATGGGAAAGACTCTTCTTATCTATAAAACGAAGTAGCTGGAAATGATCTGCTAAGGTTCCTTCCAGCACAGGGATCCATTTTTCTTGGATTCCATTCGTGGGCTTATCTTACCATAGTTGACCTGAGTGTAAGGTATTGTGAAGCCTGAGTGGATCACACAAGTTCAGAATGAATAAAGATGTCTTGGAATTGTACATTTTAGCTATGGCTTAGGACTAAAATAATACAGAAGGAGAACCCAAAGGTGGGGAAACTCAGAGGGGCAGAGAAGAATCCATTCAGGAGGACACTACCCTGTATACTCGGAGGCCCTGTAGAGGGTCTATCCTGTGCTGCAGGTCTCTCCTTTTACTCATTAGCTGTATGATCTTGGGAAAGTTAGTTTCCCCTTCTATCACATGGGGAAGATAGCAGAACTCACTGAGCTGTCATGAGGTTTAAGAAGGATAGTATAAATCTTTTGTGTAGCTCACTAAAAATTCTTTCCCTCCTCCTTTTGGGCACCTGGTAGACAGCCTTTCTCTAGTCCCTTGATATTGGACTTAGCCATGTGACTTGCTTTGGCCTATGAAATGAGAGAAGTAGTCTCTGTTGCTCTATGCAGAAGCATTTGACAGTCAGTATAACACTATTGTGCTCCTTTCTTCTTGCTGTGGCAACTGGATACACAATAGATGGTGGAAGCTCTGTTACTCCAGTTCAATGTGTAAAGAAATGTGGAGTGGAGCCCCCACAGCCAACCTGCACTGGACTTTTGATGCGATTGAGAAGTAAATTATTATTAGCTACAAAGATAAACTACCCTACCCTGACTGAAACAATATATACGAAGCACCCAGCATAGCCTCTAGAACATAGTAACCTCGGAGTAAATGATAGTTCCGATCTTGATTCTCATGACAGAGGACAGGACCACTCTTTTGAAGCAACCACCAGAATCTAGCACAGTTCTGAGCAAATGCTTGAACATTCTTTTATAGTAACGGAAGATAAATTCAAAGTTATTAGAGGCTATCAGCACCCAGGGAAACACTGGAGGACTACTATTTGCCCAAGGTGTAGAGTAGAGCCATTATGTGCTTCAGTTTTCACTGACCAGAAGGTAAATTGTGGAATAAGTTGTTCCTACACCCACTCTCGATGAAGTTATTTCTCAGGTATAAGCCTAAGACATCCTCTGTTCAGAGTAAGATGCTAGGTACTGATTCCAATATTTGGCATTGATTACTTAGTGCAAATATCAAAATCTTTATTCATGTCAATATATGTCATAGGAATATTTTTTCTATTAAACTCGGTAAGTTATAAATCTATAGGAATCTCATTTACATTACATTAAAGGGAGCCACAAATAAAGAACCTGGTCATTCTTTTTCAGAGAGTCTCTAGTGACAAAGAAGTTTACAACAGGTAGAGATGAGGCAAGGCAGGTAGAAGTTAAGAGCATGATCTTGGGTGCCCGTGAGACATAGTTTCGCATCCCAATTCTTTCGCTTAACTATAAGATAGTATGTATTCAAAAACTTAAAACTATTCCTGACACCTAGACAACTATCAATAAATACAAGTCTCATCATATATAATGAGTTGGTTGATTATTTTTCACATTTTTATTATTGTTTTATTTATTTAGTCATTCAAAAAATATTTGCTGCAGATTTTCTTGGTGCCATGAACTCTTTAATCTTCCCAGCAACTCTGTGAGATCAGTATTACTGTTTTCGTTTTATAAGTGATTAAACTGAGGCACAACAAACGATAAGAATCTTAAAACCACAGAGCTAGCTAAGTGGAAGATTTGGGCTCTAAACCCAGGTCCGAAATAGGGAAGTCTTACAAATTCTTAGTCGGTAAAGAAGTGGATCTCGGGAGTAAATTAAAAAATCAATACAGCTCCTAGTGAAGGAAAAGAGGTTCTTTCAATACCATCCAGCCCACTCTGAAGTCCAGTGAGTTTCAACTTGATAGGGATGTTTAATATAGAAAGGTATGCTGACAAGGAGTATGAGTCATCTCCTGAGCACAAATACCATCTGTGCAGGGAATGTCGGGGAAGTACATGTCATTCAAGAGTGTCTGACTCCCCTGGAGGCTGTGCATACCCAACATGGCAGCCAAGGACCAGCACTCCTTGCTCTCTGGTCCAAGGGGTCTCCAGAAGGAGGATGCTGACTTGCCTCTAAACCAATCCTTCAGCACAAGTCTAAAGCTTTTCCAGTAAGTTAAACACTTGGGCATCTTATCTTCTTATATCTTCATTATGTGATAAAGTGATTCTACCTCAGAAAAAAATGATGCTTAAAAGGGAATTTTCTTTTTTAGGGTCCAATTAACAATGTACGTAAAGAGAAAAGAAAGATCACCAGTATTTCCTGGACTATATGAGAGCAGGGTGAGGGTGTGTATACAAAGGGCCAGAATGTTTTATGCATTGGCCCATTTTCTTGATAAGTTAGCCTTTAAGCTTTGCTAGCTGCTGCCGAACTGCAGAATTAGGCACACTGTATTTCATTACTATTCATTCATTAATTTAACCAATATTGCTTGAGCATCCCCTAGACAGAGTATGGTTAGGTTTTGAGGGAGGCAAAGATGAATTCTCTGCTCTGGTAGGGGAGAGAAATATCCCAAAGGAAGGTTCTAGAAAGAGAAGGCCTATAACTAGCTACTAGCTGTCCAGAAGGAAGTTAGACTCTGGGCTGGAAGATAACCATAGCATTTGAATTAGGTCTGACCAAGTACTTATACTTCTTGTAAGGCAATGTTCTAGGGCCTCTCAGTTTGTTATTATAACTGAAGCATGGTAACATGAATGCCTACCTTTCAATGGTTCTTGGCCTTACCTGAATAATTGCAGGCCCCTGGCACTGCTCTCAGAGCCTCCTCGGGGACTGCTGGGAACCCTGAGTGTGCTCAGGAACAAGTGTGTGCATCCTCTGGCCCAACCCTGTGATGGAACCCGCTTCCTCACCCCTGGGCTGCTGTATCTCCCAGGTCCTGTCAGATGCTGCCTCTGTGTTCAGCACAAAAATGCTAAGACTGCCCTTCTCCTACAAATTGCATAAGATCCCATATTGATGGAATCCCCTTCAGCCTCTGAGTCACCCATCCTAGGGCTCAGTTTGAGGTGCCTCTGGGAGCAGAAGACCCCAGACTTTCCTTTGCTTTTCTCTAGACTCGACAACCCCCATCTAAGCACAGACTCTGCCTTCATCCAAAACAAAAGGACCTGTGCACATCAATGCCTTCAAATAATGCCTGGGACTGGGGAAGTGATCTCTTTTAGAGTGGCTCCATAATGCATCCTTCAATCTGTACGGTAAGGTTGGAGAGCAGTGAATGCAAACTGAATAGGATTCTACAATAATAGTCCTAAACCAAGACCAATTTTCTCAGGAAAATTGAGACTGTCACTGGGACCTGTGGTCACTCTTGTTCCCTGTCACACTGGGAATGGGGCCTGCTAGCCTTGACACGAGTTCTGTGGACTAATGCTTTACTGGTGCTGCATTTATATTTACCGGACAAAAGGTGCCAGTTAAAACCATGGCCAAATGTCACTGCCTGCCTAGAAATATAAGACAAGTACCCAGGGATTTGAATAAAGGGGTTGGTATAAGGGTTTGAACTCCCACCAAATTGACACAACCACCGTGGAAACCAGAGGCTCCAGTGTAGGAGGTAGCTGCCTCTGCTGGTGGCATTTTGGGGGCAGAATAAGGGCATCTTCTCAGTCCAGGATATATTTATCTTATTTGTATTGATATACTGCTGCCTATGAAAGGGATCTTATTTAAGACTAGGTCATTCGTTGTCTGTTGATGCCTTGAACATGGTTCTCCCCTGGACTTGAGAGTACAGTGTTTGTAAACATTTGTCCTTAGGCTGGCACAGCAATCTTCCCCTTAAGCAACAGGGTTTTCTCTGAAAAGACAGTTATTTAAAGCTCAGTTCAACACTTACTGACTTTGTTGTGCTTCTATCTTCAGGGAAATCACAGTCACTGGTTTGAATGGACTAATCAAGATCTATGAACTGCTGTCTACACTAATAGCCACTTTCTCAGAGATCAAAGCCACGTGGCCATGGAGATAGACTTTCAGCTGCTTTTCTTGCATCCTTTTCTGTTCGGAGTGCTTTATCACTCAAATGTCATAATCAGCTCAGGGTCTTTTCACTTCAGCTCTCTGCTACCAGACTGTTGAGTATTAGATAATTTAACGGTTTGAGCCCACTGTGATTTAAAAAACAAAAAGATAGAAAACTTTGTCCATGAGGATCTATGAAATGAGAAGAGGCAATCCTCATTAGTCTTGTCTTCCTTTAACGGGGGATAGACCAGTATGCTGCTCCTCAGGCCAGCGAGGGCACCGTTCCTCACTGTGTGGCGGAGACAGGAGCGGGAACAACATGGGTCCTTTGGCAACATCTCCCAGAGGGGAGGCTCTCCAGAGCATGGGCTTCTGTCTCTGGGCTCGCCCTCCTAGCTATGGGAAGGAAAACTTGGGACTTCCACAGACAACAGTCTAAGCATGTAGATGTTTCTAGGCTGCCCTGCCAGGAAGAATGTCTGTTCTGAGCTGTACAAGCCCTTCACAGTTGGGCCGGCTGGACCCTCGGGTGGGGCTGCACATGTGGGACAGCAGTTCAGTGGAGAGGGGCTTGCAGACTAGCTCTCCCAGTGGCTATGATCACAGACCCTGGGAGCTTCGTGGTGTTAACTTTTCCCCAGGCCCCATTGCACTGAGTACTGTCTTCCTACACATTTCCCCTGCCACCTGAGGCCCAGGGCCTCGCCAGGCCTGTCTGGCCTCATCTTGATAGAACCTTCCCCACAGTGGGTATTCAGCATCAGTATCAGAAGGCCACCAGATGGGTTCCAAAGGGACTGCCTGGAATCCAGTAGCAGCTCAGTAAAAATTTGGTGAGTGAATGAATGAATAAATGAATGATGAAATTCCAGCTTTGCTTCCCCCAAAGCAACAGAGTCTACTTCCTTCCAACTCAGACCGAGAGAGTAACAGAAGTGGTTTGAGCCACCCACCACCCACTCCAGTCTGAATACTCAGAAAGGAGAAATCAAAATCAAGGGAGCAAGAAGAGGCTCTTTGCTCTGGACACTTTCTCCAGTGCTCCTGCATAGAGTGAGGCAGGGCCCTCTTATGAGGATGATGGAGGAAGAAGCATTTTCTCCGAAACCCTGGCTAAGTGCAAGCAGCCTCTGCATCTCTCCATTCGAGGCCTGGGATGTGTTGAGGACATAAAGAGCGAGTGATGAGTGCCTCCCTGACTCTCGGAGCTCCCGGATTGGTTGTCTGACGGGATGTTCCTTCTGACTAAGTGATCTCCGCAAATGTCACTTAGGTTCAGAAGAAAACAGGCTCCCACGTATCCAGACTTCATCCACTGGAATTTACTTGTCATACTCACTACATCACGAGATAAGATCAGCGGTGCCCCAGCCTCCTGATGACACACTGTTCAGTCCACCTCAAAGATAGAACTTCTGGAAGCTGGGGCTGGAGGGGGGATGTGTTAAACTGGGCGTCTTCTGAGTCCTCCAGAAAATGTTATAACCGGACTCACTATGCAGAGTCCGATAAGTGTCAGGGATGGAAAGGGGGGTTTGGGTGGTATCACAGTCAGTCATAAGGCTACAATACAGCCCATGTGTTCTCGACTTTTCCAAAAACTAACTCGCAAGACAACAGACCGGAAGAATGCCTGGCAATGACAGGGACTCAGTAAATAATTGTCGATCGACTGGCACGGCATTGTCCCCAGCTGCCCAGGTGCCTAGTGGTGCAAAGCCATCTTCCCAGAGGCCAAAGTAGATCTCAGCCATGACTCTACCCCACCCAGGAGGTGAGGCACAGGTGACCTTCTCCTTCAGATATCCAGGGCCCATGTTGGTCAGAAGAGAAGCTCCAAATGTTTATTTAATGGTTTTGCTATTAAAAAGAGCAAACATTGGACACTAACTTACAGTGAACTCTACATTGGGAAGCAAGAGTCCTTTGTCCAGAAGAGCTGTAGACAAATGCTTCTAGGGGATATTATATTACAGAGACTCCAGAATGATCAGACATGCCCCACACTTTCTTGGGGGTTCGTTCCAGTCCAGAGGGACAGCTCAGCACAGGCTTGTTCACAGCCATGCTTGTTGAGCCCAAAGAACCTCGGGCAACAAGCACTTGCACACCTGGCAGAAGTCATTTTGACAAGTGAGGTGGGTCTGAAGTGAGAGCAAAGGAAGATAGACGACTTTGTGGAGCCTGAGGCTGACTTCAGAAATACCCACCTCTTGCCCCCAGCCCCTCTATTCAGAGCTTCTCCAGGAAATCCTACCAGCTTTCTCCAGCAGTGGCATTTGTCACACAGTGGCATTTCCTACACTCCTCTTCCCTCTGACCACATCTCTGGGGCTGCTAGGAGAGAGCCGACCAAACTACCCAGGAAGGCCAGGCAGCAAGCTGGTCTCCTCGAGAAGGCAGTATTTGGCTCTGACTCAGGAGCTTCTGGTGTTTCAGCCTTCCCTCTCCTATTGTACCAACCCCCGCAAGATCACCTTTCCTAAGAAAGAAAGAGCTTTCCCCAAATGTCCCAATCTTAGCTCTTCCAGTGCACCCACCTCATAGGCAGCCCCTGAGTGACAGCATCCACCATTACTTCATGTATAGTGGCACTGGGCTGGTTGCATAAAGGTCACTTAGGGAGTTTGTTAAAAATCCAGATTTCTGGGCCCCACTCAAGATACTTCTTGGGGTCGAGATGGGATGTGCAGAACAGCAATCTGTATTCAAAGACATTCCCAGATGCTTCTAAGACTCTGTTAGGACTGAGCAGCACTAAAAATCAGGGTATAAAAAGTTCAAAAGTGCATTAAAATATCCTTTTCTTTATTAAGACCTAGAAGAAAGTAAATTTGACTTCCAGAGAATATTTTGCTTCCTGGCAGCTTTAGGCAAAGCAGTTCCCTCTTGACCTAAACCAAGGCTACTCTCTGGGTCCTTCGGACATCTTAGACCAGCAAGAATCTGCGAGTAGCTCCAATGTAATGTGGGCTGCAAACCACCTTCCTAAGCATTCCAGACTCCCAGGGATGCAGCGCGCAGCACGTTCTCAAGCTGCTGGAGATTAGTGAGGTTGTGAGCTTTCCTTCAAAGCTCACCAGATCCCAAAAGCTTCTAGAAGGGGTTTCCCTGAACTATCAGGCACTTAGAGCTCAGGAAGAAGTAAACTTGATGCATATTGCAAAATAAGCCCCTGGAAATGGCTAAATTCTCTACATCATGTGAAAGGCAAAAGTATGTCTTAAAAAAAAAAAAAATCAGTGAAGCCAGAACGTATGTTGCTAACAACAGGACTGAATTAAGTAACGAGAGACTGTGCCTGTTGCCAGTGCTGAGGCAGGAAATAATTCATTTTCCTTTAACTAATCTCTTTGTTTACATTTCCTTTGCTCCACAGGACTGGCTCAGAAAAAGCCTGTTTTTCTGTCTTGTTTTTTGTTTGTTTGTTTGTTTGTTTTGTTTGTTTAGTCCTTGGTCAGTAGGGTCTGGTCCCATTGAGCCTTAGACCATGGACGCCATGGCCAAAGTCATTGTCATGAGTCACAACAGACTCACTGTGGAATGAAGAATGAAGACAGCAAAGGCCAGGAACAGATCTGCTCCTCCAGCTGGGCTAGCATCTGCCCGGTCAGCCAGCACTGTTCCTGACCACTGCAGGCTGGGCCAGGTGGGGCTGGCCTGTATGTTGGGAATGGAGGGAGAGCCGTGTCTGCCCACCTCACATTCGTATGCCCTGTTTTTGGCACAGTGTATAATAACTCTTTGAATACAAGAAGGATAGGACGAGGACAATGAATGGCTTCCAAAGTGGGCTAGATAAACTTTCTTTCTCAACCCCTTTACATACTTACACATAAAGGGACAATTAAGGGTAAGATGGTAGGGAGGGAGAAAGAGAGAGAGAGAAGGAGGAGGAGCAGGAGGAAGAGGAAGAGAAAGAGCCGAGGGAGGGAGAGAGGGAGAGAAAGAGAGAAGAAAGGGGAATGATAAAAGCACAAGGTACTTCATGGGTCGAAACTACAGATGGCTGCCTAGGGGGTGAAGGGAGGTCTCATCTCCCTGTCATCATGGCTCAGAGATTTCATGCCCATCAACTGCACACTTCATCCATTCCTAACATGTAACATGTAGCAAAACAACCTCATTCTGTAGAGGTAGAGAAAGCCATCGTAAATGGTTCTAGATTAAGAAGACCACGTGTGCCACGTGGCTCCTCACCTGTGGTCTCTACTCCAGGGCTCTCTGGGAAGCCTGTGAAGTCCTGCTCTTTTCTTGATTTCTTTTCCTCTTTAAATCTACTGGTCTGATCTCTGGTTTGTACACACTGAGACATTTGGAGACTTCGCAGTCTGCTCTCTTTCTGGCAAAGCAGTGTGTGTCATGACAATATCAAAGCTAAGTCAATCTGCACATTCACGGCTCTCTAGCATAACGGACGCCCTCAGTGGAGAAAACACCCTGTCTTGTACATGACGGAGAGTTCCTATTCATATACACTTTTCTCTCTTAAAATAACAGAAGAAAACCACTGTTCTTTTGGCTCAAGCAAAAATAAAACTGGTTTTTGAAAACCCTATTTAAAGGGTTCATTATCTCACAGGCTACTAACTATATACTCTGCACCACACTCAATAAAAGCTTCATATAACTGCCTTTGAAATTAACAGCCACCTCTTGTGCTTTTCAAGTTATTAAAGATGTTGGCATGGTGGAGAGACTGTAAACTTTCTATACTGGTGATTAGTCAGCGAGACCACATCCCACCAAATCCCCCAGAGCGTTCCTAACAAAAAGTTCCTTGTGACCCAAGCACCAATTTTTCTTTCTTGTCTGTTCATTCTAATTCCACTCAATTACTCCTGAGCAAGCTGTTTTATTCCTGTCAACTCATGTTATTTACTGGAGCCTTTCAGGAGGACTGAAGTGGAGGCTGATATTATGTAGGATGTTTTGAGACTCATTAAAACACTTTAAAACAATCACCCATTGTGATATTCACAGCCCTATATGACCTGGACTATTTGGAGCCTGGATCACTTCATTTATTTGCCATTAAAAGTTCCAGGTTAGAATGGCTTTTCTTGCTACAACAATTTTGGACCTGGGAACCCAGGACCTGGTCTGGGCTCCTGGAGGCCTCTGGGCAAGGATCTGAAGGATTAAGTGTGTGTATGTTGGGGTGGGGGAGGGGTGTCCAGGGACAGCTCTCCCTCTGACTGATGGACTGAGGAGAAATGGGAGTCAGCAGGCAGTCCCAAGTAGCCAGCAAGGTTTGCCTTCTAGAAGAGAGGGCAATTTCTCCAGGAGAGCATGCATAATAGCAATTTTCTTTTAAAGTTGGAGAGGTCCCCTGTGGTGTCACTTTTAGTCAATCGTTATCCCATCATTATATGTACAATACCTGAACAATTTGTATGAACAAGGAACTGAGCCAGATTTTCTGAAGGTGTAAAGCAGATAGCTCTGTAGTCCTTGCATCATTAGATGAGGGTCCATTTTATTGATGTCACTTGGAGTATCAGCTGCCAGGTGAGCATGCTTAGCCAGAACTCTGAGCCAGAGGGTGACCAAAACAGCCTCATTCTGTCCACTCCTCTCCCGGATCCCTCTTTCTTCTCACTCTGCTCTTTTATGCTCTAGCTGCTCACCTTCCCATCCACGATGAGCATCCGCCCCTGACTGACCATTGGCAGGAACTCAGCGCAGACAGCCCCTGGGGTTGGAAGTTGGCTCCTGTGCTCTAGGCTACCCAGAATCCAACAGGGAAACTGTGCTCAAGCTGGAGTGAAAGTAGAAGATTTTTAGTTTCCAAGTCCAAAGAACTGGAATTTCTTGGGGTGGAGCAGCGGGGGGTGGGTAGGGGGGAAAGATCTCC